TGTCTTTCTAAACTAAAGCAGAAAGTGACCATCAATACAAGATAAACAATTAAAAAAAAAACATTTCGCCGTCCTGTCTCATCTTAGATATTACATTTAACTGTAGCAGAGAAATTTTCAGAACTTTGCTTCTTTTAAGTTGTCACATACTGTGCTGTAACTGGGACCATGAAATACACTAGTCCCAGCCTATTTGATTAAATATCTATTCACTATTTTATTGATGGAGAGTGTATTAGTTATATTGTATCTACAGGAGGAAAAGCACTATTAACATTTGTATATATAGATATGAAATGTCCATAGTGCTTTTATGGTATATTACAACAAAATTCTACCAGAGACCAGAATAGACAGCAAAACATGTGAAACAAAAAATTATTTTGGCACTCATGTTTTGTAGTTACCCAACATCACCTTTCATCCCATCTAAGCAGTTCCTAAATTTACCTACAAATATGGCTTTATGAGATTACTACTACTGAAAAATCCTTCAGGCCTGAGAAACTGCTCACAGTTTTTAACTTCTCTTTACTACTATTCAGTGAAAAGTGATATTTAACTCAAACTGTAAGAGTGCTACAGAAATTTACAGTAAAGTAGCCATTGGAAACAATTGTTAGTGGTGAAGGCTATATGTCACAAGCTCAAATCCAGACCAGGTCAGTAGTGATAGAAAATCATAATCTCATGGTTGTTTAGCAGCCCAAATAGAGTGAGTTTGGAGTCTTGGTCTAGTTTTAATATGCAAGTGACCATATGACAAACCCCACCAAAAACATATGTAGTGCACCAGCTGTCAGCCTTAAAAGAGAGACTAAAGATTGTGTGGTCATGATGACTGAGTTACCCCTTCACTGCAGAAGTCTTCCTCCAATTTAGGATTGAGGCACATTGGAAAGGTAGTGAAGAGAGCCTTGCATTGCTGCTGCACATTTGGAACTTATATATGGAGATATACCTATCTCATAGAACTGGAAGGGACCTTGAAAGTCACTGAGTCCAGTCCCCTGCCTTCACTAGCAGGACCAAGTACTGCCCCTGACAGTTTTGTTTTTTTTGTGTGTGTGCCCCAGATCCTAAATGGCCCCTTCAAGAATTAAACTCACAACCCTGGGTTTAGCAGGCCAATACTCAAACCACTGAACTATCCCTCCCCCCCAACTTGTACCATGAATAGTTGTTTTCATTCCCCAAGATTCAAATAAGCTTGCACTTTTCACAAACACTGAATTCACACATATTACTTTTAATGTTTCAGTAATTTGGTTCATGGGGCTATTTGATTTACAAGCATGCTTTCCAAGAACAAAACTGAGAGGCTACACTTGAACAGATCAGATCAACACTCACAACTAGTGCCCATATTCAATCCTATCCCATGCCTTCAATAACTTGTATATTGTCCTGTGGTATGACTACATATACCCAATGTTCCAATGACCCATCAACTTTGTATATAATTTTATTATATATAACTACTGTGCAATACTCTCATAGAAAAATAAAGTTACAATGATAGCTCTGGCAAGGATATTTTTGTGACTTTAACATTATGTCAAGAAAAATCTTTGTAGGAAAACACCAAAACATTCCAAGTTTTGTTGAACAAAAACTATCACCATAAAATTTAATTTTCTCCCATTGGCTCTTAAATCCTTCATTCGCCTATCAATACAAACATATGTAAATATCGGTAACACCCATTATTTTAGCTTTAGTAGGAATTACCACATAATCCCCATTTATTGATGAAATAATTACTTTAGATAATCTCAGATACTTTAAATTAAACCACTAGTCCTGCAATTCTCTTTGCATGTGTTACCTGATAAAATACTTTTTTACAAGTATTTAAGATTCAAGCAGTTTTGATTTAAGAGAGCTCACGTGGTCTGTTTTAGTTCCCTGACTAGATGAGAACTCACAAGATCAGGATTTTTTGTGGAAACACTTGTGAAATTTAAAATCTGTTTTCCATTAATATTCTATAATATTCTCCTAAAATAGACTATACCTTAAAACAGACTTTCCTGCCAGTAAGTTCATTTACTAGAATATTGCAAAATGCAGTCTCTCAAAGTGAATTTAAGAATTTGAACTAATATGTGCTCAACTTTACTCACTACAAGGGTTCCATGCTCTGTACTAGTGTGTAATTGCTGCTTTCTCCCTGACAGAATCTCACATTACATTTAGTTTTAACTTAAATATGATTTACAGAGAAAACTGAAATACACAAGAGTACTTCACAGAGTCCTTCTTAGTCTTCTGATGTTCTCTTGTGAAGAATATGCTCACATTTTCTTCTTAGGGCCTTCTGCTAAAAATTTACCAAATTATAGCATACATATACTGGTGGTTTTTGATAACAATTTCTTCTCTAATTTTTCACCTGATACCAGGCTTAATATTGCCATCCTATCGAATCTCCAATATCCAATGAAGATAGCTTCTGGAATCCAGTTAGCATGATATGAAAGGAGTCACAAATGAATACGTATCAGTGTACTAAGGCAGTTGAATAAGCTACACTCTGGCTTCTTGCATGGGGGAAAAAACACATGAGGAAACCCTAGTTAAGCTAGCCAATAAATTCCATTACCCTTTCTCCCACTTAAGTAAACAGGCCATCAGTTATGACATGAAAATGAGGAATTCACATTTCAATGATGTCTTATTGGCACTGACTGTGAATGTGGAACAAATAAAATCAGAGCAGTTTTGTCACTATCTTAATGAGACAGAGTGCTGATGCAATTGTTGATTGGAAAGAAGGTAGGCATTAAATTAATTTTGGGAGGGCACTACACAGAGTTGGTCATGTCTAAAGGTTTAATTCTCCAACTGTGGATAAACCAAGTTTTTAAACAAAAAATCACTTTTAAAAAAAGTGAGAATGCAAAGTTTCCCTATAAAGTCTTTATATGGGCAATCCACCCATCTAAGCTTTTCACTTTCTTTGCAAGCCACCCCCATGCCCCAACTTCTATGACTTAAAAATCAAGTTAAATATCTTTTAAGTACCCAACAGAACAGTTTACTGATTTGCCTTCTCCTCCCTCTGCCCCCTGAATAAAGACTTTCCTAAAAGGTTAGTGGAACTTCAAAAGTAACCCCATTTGAACTTAAATTGCTGATCTATTAAATAAAGCATGCAGAATATATATAGTTTCACAAAAAATCCCCAAACTATCAATGCAAATATAAACAATGCTCATTACTGATCCTCTTATAAAAAAGTCAATGTGTAAAGTACTGTATTTCACCAAAACAGATATATATTCCAAAGGTCCAAGATTTGTACTATCACTACATAAATAGTGCAACATATGGCATATTAAACTTATCTATTCTGACTGCTGAATAGGGTCTCCTACCTATTTTGTTTTTAATTGGAAAGTCACAACTGAGACTGTATATTTTTCTAATTATATAAATGTTATATTGTATTTGAAGTACATCTATACTTATACTAAAAGTTGTCAGTGAAAAAGAATACCACTGTTGGATTTAAGCAACTCTATGAAATTTTACTTTAACTTTATCACTGCCTTTGGAGATTTAGCTTTCAAAAACCATCATCTGTACTACCAAACATATAATAATGGCTATCCCTATTTCAGGCTGTTGAAAACAGAAGGGTGCAATATTGTCAAGTGAAGAACAGAAGAAACTAGATTTCTGACAATTGTACAAGTGGGTATGTCTTATGAAATGATTCATCTTCAAGTGAGAAATAAGTTATATTAGAGGCTGATCACTGCCACAGATTTAAAAAGAAATGGGATGTTAATGCAATTGTATTTATCCAGTAATTCTATTACCATTCTATTACCTAATAAGTTATTGTAGAAAAGAATAGTTCCACTATAGTTTTGAACATAGGGCACATTAATTAATAGTAATCTTATAGAATTACGTTTTGTATTCACAAGACTACCAAAAGAATGTCGTGATTAATACTATTCCTTTGCATACTACACAAGACATTTTGTCTCCTATTAGCACTCAGCAAAATTTTGTAATATAGAGAAAATCGACACAATCTATCCTCTAGTCTGTACTTAGCTCTTGAAACATTGACAAACGTGAGTTGAAATGTTAAGAAAATCATCATAGGGAACTGAGAGCTGTGAACTTTCAAACTAAGGTAATAAACGTTTCACTTTGTTTATATGGCAATATACTATGAACTTTGACCTAATATAGGGAAGAGAAGGTTTTACATTGTCTTTCTTTCATCAGTTTTGTCCCTAAAATATCACCTACACTCGTCCCATTCATCATAAAAACATACTGAAAATCATGATGTCACAAGTGACAGATGCAGATCACAAGATGCAACAACGCCATCTCTGCAATTACACAATATGTCCAGTTTCCTCTGAGTACCCTCCCAGTTGCTCAAATAGGGGAGTAGGTTTAAGTACTAATAATATATGTATAACTTGAGGCTGCTAGGTTGAATGTGATGAAACCAAACTGACAGTTCTATTGCATCATTTTGCTTTCCCTTGACCCACGGTTTCTTCCCAACTTATCTTCTCACCCTGCATTCATCCCTTCACCCTGCCTCACTTCTGAAGCAAATTTCCTCTGCAGTTTTCGCCGAGCCATCACATTCTTTGCTGGTCCCTGCCAAGCAGAATGGATCTACCACTATTCTGCCCAAGAGAATACAGCCTCCATTCCTCCAACCTCAGACAATTCTTCTGCTGCCACCATCATCACCACCACCACAGAAAGGCAAAATCTGTGCGTGTTGTTGAAGAAGTTCATGCAGCCTTGACTGTTTGACACAGACAGGCTCCAGACCTCAGAGGTTTAAAAGGTGCGTTGTGTGCACGTGAAGGATGAAACCTGACGGCAGGCTACCACCATTAAAAGAATGACTGAAAGGAGATGGATACATGCCACCACCTCTAGCCCCTTGGCTTGGGGGTGCCACTCTCCCTGTCCCACCACAGTTTCTGCGGGGCGAGGCGGGGATTCTTTACCTCCTCCAGCAGCGTGACCGTGTTCCTGCAGTTCTGCAGCCGGGTAGTGAAGCTGGAGGTGGTCGGAGAGTTGTAATCCTCCGTGGTCTCCGCGATGAACTCGGGCACGGTGATCTGGTCCGGCATGATCCTGCCCGGAGGGGACGAAGAAACAGAAAGGGGGGGGGGAAGAGGGGGTTAAAGATAACACAGCGAGACACGGAGCATCCACCAGCAGAGCCGGAGAGGCAGGAACTCCTCTGCCCTGCCCCCAGCTCCCTGCGGACGGGGGGCTCCCTCCGGCGGGCTCAGCCCCTGCCCGCCCGCCCGCCCGCCCGCTCCGGGAGGGGGTGCTGTGTGGCCAGCTCTCCCGCTCGCGCTCGGGGCTGAGGAGGCGCCGCCGCGGCTCTCGCCCGGGGACCCCTGGCTCGCCGCTGCCCCGGGGAGGGGGCTGGGAAGTTGAGCACTAACTTGTGCGGGCTCCGGCTGCGCCCCCGGCCGGGGGAGGGGGGAGCGTAGGGGGAGGAGGAGAAGGGGCGGCGGCGTTGGCGGCTCCGGGGAGTTACTCGGGCTCCAGCCGCCTCTGACAGCCACTGCGTGAGTGACACTCGGCTCAGCAACCAACCCTCCCTCCCGCAGCCGTTACGTGGGCAAACAAGGAAGTGCTCTGCGCCTGCGCCGAACTCGGCCGACACACACGCGCGCGCGCGCGGCCACGGCGGGGTGCGCGCGTCACCCGCAGCAGCCCAGCGCGAGACAAGAGGCTGCGCTCCGGGCCGAGCTGGAGCCGCGCGCGCCCAGGCGGCCTGTCTGGGTTAGGACCTTGAGTTTAAAACCGGCAGACAGATTGAGGGCGTCGAAGGGGGGCGTGGCTTTGCTCCTTCCACGGGCACCCGCTGCTGCTGTTAGCCCGGGCTGGGCTTGGGCATCCCCCCCCCCAACACAAAGCAACACCGGCGGCATCCCCTGTACACGCGCTGCCCCCCGTGCAATGGGGAGGGCTCGGGGCCGGCTCTCCTGGCTGAGCAGTGGGAGCCAGCGGCTTTGTCCTGTGCTGCTGGAAATCGACATCGGAGTGACTGTCTGCGCAGCGGATGGGGGGATGCTAGTCTTTGTCTTGTTGTTTGCAGTCAAAGCACAAACCTAAGAAAGCGGGCAAGAGCTCAGGAAGGAGCGCCTGTAATATAAGTGATGCACAAAAAAAGCAGATGTGGGACCGATTTCAGGGAAAGGGCCCACAGATTTCTCCTTTTCTCTGACACGACAGATGGTCTTCCTTTGCCAGCCTGACCCATGCTAGCTATCCCCATCCATATAGTCTAGTTCCCTCCTGACAGAATTGAACAATTATTCTGTATTACTTAAACAGCCCCATAAGATGATTTCGTAAGGCGTCATCTCATGTTCATGTTCTGACCAAACATAAGAACAAGTTTAAATTCCAGCAACATCTTGACACCAGTTAATATGATTGTCACCCAGTAAGGCACAGATCAATGAATTGCTAGTCTAGTTCCTGGATGAATCCCAACCTATCTAATCAGCTGAAGATAAATCTCAAGGGCAAGGCTGTAGTTTTTGTTTTTTTAGATGTCCATCATAGCCATCAAATTTAAATGCTTTTGCTGTTTCTGGCACTCATAAATCCTTGTGCTGCAAGCATTTTATGATGGGGGGGAGGAGGGGGCAAATTAAGATATTTCATATCTCAATAAAATTATGTTTCTGATGAAATAGTCCAGGCAAGCTGATTATATTGATTTTCTCCCCCACAGCCTCCACTTTTCATTGATAGTAAGACATATGGGGCACCTGTTTACACGATCACAAAATATAAACAATACATTTTAAAATAAAATTAATTACATATGTGAATCCTTGAAAATTATGCTACTTTCAAAGAGAGCTATACCTGTATTTTTAATACTGAAAAGACTATTGTATTGCATAGATCACCATTATTCCCACCTGGATAAATCAAAACAGCAGGAGTAGCCTGACATTTTCCAAAACCATACAAAAGATTCCTGGGATACACTTAGCAACGTCACGTCTAAAGTTATATAACCCATAAAACTTTCAGAGGTGACATTTTTAAATACAGTAATATTTCTAAAGGTAAAATACATTTTCTGCACTGTTTTTCCATGTAACTTTAGGAATTAAGCCAATGAAAAGAATAGGTGCTTTTTAAAATTTCTCTTAAATTTTTATTTCTGTATATGCCTTTAAAAAAAAAAAGGCCTAAGCTCAAGAGGCCTAAATAATCATCAATCGCATCTGCTGTTTCAAACAGATTTGTATATTATGCTGCATGGAGCCCCCCTCTTCCTATGACCTGCCACAATAAGAGATGAGCATTGAGAACCCGGTAAATACATGTATTCTTAAAAACGTCTCTAAAATGAACATTGTGTAGTTGTATGTGCCCATGTCAAAAATTGCTTCACATAATACTCCATATAAGTAACCACACTACAGTAAATCACACTTAGGTTTTAAAGTGGATTTGCCGGTAATCCTAAAAGTGTTCCTACCTTTCAAAAAAATAAAAAGCAATATAATACTGCAATTTATGGATAAATCTTAAAACCAGAGGTATCTGATTTGTGCCTACCCATAAATACATGTTCTCTGTATGGTTTCCATCCTTTCTCTGCCAGAAAAATATGAGCACTGCTGAAACAGTCCTGCCTGAAGAAGTTTCTTTCTTTGATCATGGTGCCTTAGCAGCAGCCCTCCATGTGTATTTATTCACATGGCCTGGCTTTCCCCCACATAGATGTAAGGGTTGTAAGACTGAGCCCTACATAGAGGAGGAGCACTCACTCTCATGTACTTTTCACTAGTAAAGCTGGCAGGGTCAGGCAGCTGGATAGCACAGACTTGCTGGGAGAGGACTAGCATTGGAAACTGAAGTGATGATATAAGCTTCTGAAAACCTGCAACCATTGAAGCCGTGGAGTCAGAGTCCCTGGGCCAGATCATCCAGTCAGCTGAGTGTTGCATTTGTGCAGCTGACAGGATGATTAGGCTCTGGTTATATGTTTATGGGGGGGAAATTTTAAAGAGAGTGAGAGAATTAAGAGCCATAAGAAAAGTAGGATTCAAATTTTCCCTAGAAAAGGGACTTATCCAGTAAGATACAATGTTCTCTCTCAACTCCCACTGAATTCACAGGTACTGCTCAGTACTTTGCAGAATGAGGCCAAGACCATTCAAAAACAAAACACACACACACACACACACACACACACACCAACAATGGACTAACAATAACGGGATTGTAATAAAACAAAAAAATCATGGAGCTGTTTTGTAACCATGTTCTCTTTGAAGGTGACCAGCTGTTGTCCCTTTGAGAGAGCCCTGGGACTTGCTCACAGATGGATTACAAGTAGCACATAGATCGTAGCTGTCTGCACTTTCTAGCCTTTTTTGACATTTTCTTTGCAGCCTAAGGCTTTCAATTCTGAATATCAGCGTTGAGATGCTTGTCACAACTGCCCTCGTGGAAAGTCCCTGGTGGGTACAGAAGGCATCAGCATTTATCAAAAAAATATTTGAGCTCTTGCTTCAAAATGCTGTAATTCCACTGCTTGGGTGCTTTCTGGGTCCATGTTTAATTAATGAACTCTCTCAATAGGCTGTTCTTAATAAGACAGGGAAAAAAAAGGTAAGTCAACTACAGTATCTTTGGTCTGGTCTTCCAATCAACATGCCTGTGTAAATGGTAGGTGTTTATCACTGATGCTATTATTATAAATAATTTGTATCACCACTGTTCCTGAGGCCCAGTGCCCCATTGTGCTAGACACTGAACAAAAAATATAACAAAGAGATGATCCCTGTCCCAAAGATCCCCATTTTAAGACAAAAGACAACAGACAGTGTGAAGACACGATTACTGTGAGGCAGTTATGACCAGTGTAATAAACAGCAGTCACAGCATACCACTTGCCTCACCATTGTGAAGCATTTTGGAAACCTCATGACATAGGTTGGTTTTTAGGAGAGACTGAAAGGAGGAAAACAGAGTGCGTTACAGATATTTACAGGGAGTTCTTACCATGTCTAATGCAGTGGCATCAGAAAAAGCACAAGACTGTTTATCCAAAATGTTGACAAATGGGCAATCAAGGAGGATATTGTTGGTGCAGTGGGAGTTTAAATCTCTGTAGCATGTAAGAAATGATGGGTAGTGCCAGAGTAGTCTAGAAGGGCCTTAAAGTGAAAGACAGTTTGTGCATGATGCAGTGGAAAAAAACAGAGACAGGGGGAATGCAAGGAGGGAGATGAGATTGAATGAGCCAGGAAGGTGATCTTTACAGCAGTGTTTTGAATGGATATAAGTAGGGTATGAAGGCCAGAGAGGAGGTTTCAATAGTCAAAGTGCAAGAAGAGGAGGGCCTGGATAAGTGTTTTAGCTATGTGGATGGAATGGAAAGGCTGGATGTTGGACTTGTTATACAGGAAGAAATTGCACCATTTAGACACAGCCTGCATATGATGGTTTTAGAGAGAGGGATGTCCAAATTATAAAACAAATTTCCAATTTGCATAATTGTATTTTTCAGTTTCAGTCAAAAGTATTCAATATTATTCTTCTCTTCTTGTTCTAATCTATTGTACAGTGTTGCTCTATGCTTAAAACAGCAATACCATTTCATCCCAGAGGTGATTGCATTTTCATAGTGAAGTCTTTGATATCTCTCAGGAAGAAAAACTTTATATACATAAAGTATTATGGTTATATATGTATAGGTTAAGTCTCATAATAACATGCAAAGAACTTCCTCTACCTTTAAGAGGAAATACAATGTATATCTATGTGCATTAGAATATCCAGAAATAACTCTAAAATTGCAACTGTTATAATTTTGGTTGAATGTTGAGCCTGCAGATAAGAACAATCTGCTAATTAAATAAAGTTAAAGCAAGGATGAATTTGGCTTGTTATTTGCAAGTATGGTATCAGCTGTACCAAGATTCAGTACATATTTTTTGTAAATAGGTCGCACATAGCTTGAATGTTCTTTTTATTTATTATTTACATAAGGATATGTAATATCATCTACTTTGTACTTCAGCTTGAAATGTTTTGTTCAATTCAGGAGCAATTTCACCTTCAGAAACAGTGTCCTAGTACCA